CGTGTTCATGTTAGTACTTTCAACCATTGTTTTATATATTCCAGTAATTGTTTATACTGTCATCATAGCAACACTAGGRAAAGATGTAACTGAGGACTTTCAGTATATTGCACAATCTATTGCTATGACATTTGTAAACCTTCAGTCTCTCGTCAACCCTGTTATCATGTCACTTAGTATGTCGTATATTCGTAAAGGYATTCAGAACAAACTCTGCTGCGGATGCATGTGAAGATCAAGATTATAAGAACTTTGTAACAGAACCGTGGACTTTATTCAACCGTGCGGTACGTCTCAATGATATCAAAACTTAAGTTTGAAATATTAAAATTATTTCTTTGAATGAACTTTGAGCATTTATAGTAAACAGACATCGACATATAAATATAGATTGATCGATTGAATGACAGAATTAGAGAGTGGGAACGCCATAATAGATGGACAAAAAGCTTCAAAAATTTACCTAGATATAATAATTTTTGCTTTCCTCCTTCGAAGTTGAATCMTTCTATTCAAGCCTTTCGTCCTTTTGACGCCAGTATTTGAACAATTGGAACTCGACCAATTACATTGCAGAAGAAACTGTCAGACGGTGATTTAGTTTATTGTTAACAACAAATCCTTAAATGAAAATGACCCCGCGGTAATTTAAAAAAATGCCTTTGAAAGATACCAGGCTCTTACAAAAAAGGTATCTCCTAAGAGRTACCAATAACAAAACGCGATGAAACGATCTAAAGCCAATTAAAATGAGTGAGGTGTCTGATGTTTWATAATCTTTACGTATTTTGTAAAAAGGTACCAGATTATCCGGTTCCAGTCCGAAAAACTTTGAAACATCYTAAAGATACCAGATCCTCTGATTTTCAACCATATCAATTTGCACGCTTTAGGTGTCCAAATATAATTATTCTGCGGATAGAACTTTAATTTTCTCATCCGCCGTAAGCAGCGAGAAAAAAAACCCATCCGTTGAATTGATCTTTTGAATAGTTTCTTAAAGAGGCTAACTAAATGTCCGAGTTCTCGAGTAAAAAAAAAAGACGCCTTCACACAGCCGGATACACACATTAAAAACCTAACGTCAATCGCAAGGTGTTAATGACGTATATCCAGGTCTATCTTATAGAAAAAAGGATTTATTCCAAAAACAAATGGATTTATTCAAAAAGAGCATGTATTCATTCTTCATCAATGTACAAGTTTCTATATTTACAAGGAGTGTACCTATCGTGCGGTTCGACTATCTACACCTTAAACCACGTGACTTGACAGTTACATCGATGTCACGTGACTTCGAGGGACGACACTCACTAAACTAATAGTCACGTGAAGGCAGCCTTCATTCTCTTAGTGCAACGTTACTGACATCTATCGGCGTCACGTGGTATGTATGTTTTCTATAATAGTCACAACCTTGATCAAAAGTATTGAATTCATAAGCTAATCCATAGAATAAAATTAATATCTCGAAATGTTTTGTGCTATTTAACAAATATATACAAAATGACGACAATAATTAATTTATAAATTTCGAATCAGTAGTAATCGTTTAGACATGTTTAAAAGTTTGATTTCCAGGTGCTGAAGACAAACTTCACTGTGTCACGAAGTTCCAAGCAGCGCTTGTTSACCCGGYGRCATCCCCTGACAATAATGTTTCTTTCAGTTTTTGTTTGGATATCTTTGGTTTCCTGAGACACATGCACAGAAGACACGCGTTAAAACAGTAGGACAATGAACTGCGCAGTATTTATCGCAATATTATCAGGGGTTGAGAATCCAGAGAGGTACGGGGGGGAGGGGGGGGGGGGCAAAATCTAATTTTATGTACTTTAAGAGGGGGCAACGTCTAAAAGTAAGTAGCCTGCTAACAGGCGTTCCTGCTGGGGGGCCGAGAGAGAATGGGGAGGAGAGAAGCGGAAGGGAACGCCTGCAAGAGGCTATTGTTTGTTTGAAATACAACGTTCGTGGGCGAACGGTGTTGCTGATTGGCTGAGCTTACTAGCCAGGATTGTGTGACCGCGTGACCGACTGACACATTTTAAACATGGCGTCCTTCAATGGCGTCCTTCCGCTCCTCTCCTCCCCATTCTCTCTCGGCCCCCCAGCAGGAACGCCTGTTAGCAGGCTAAAAAGTAAGTAGAACTTTAATTGGATACTGAAAAATCAACGGTTTTAGATTCGGTAAACCATGCACGATTTACGACAATTATTTATTCACGAAAAATAGACAAAAAACAAAACAAAACAAACAAAACAAACAAACAAACAAACAAAACAACAAAAACATTGCGTTTTCGAGGGGGTATTTAACCTTTTTTGGCTCATTTCTCAACCCTTCCTTGTCCCCAAGTGAAACTTAACTTGTAATTCAGTAAAGAAGGAAAAAATATATCAAAAAAAGCAAATATTTTCCCGCACGGCCCTCCCATTCAGTCAATAATTCAAGTCAGTCAATTACGACCCTTCATTTTCAGTTAAGGTCGGTTTAGACGGTACAACTTTTGCCTACAACTGTCGCGTGCAACATGCGTAAGCCATCCTTACAACATGCATGGCTACAATAGTCGTAGAGATTTAAACAATTGTTTGACAACCCTACGACAGTTRTAGCCATCTCGTAAGGATGACTTACGCAGGTTGCATGCKATGGTTGTAAGTTGTACCGTCTAAATCGGCCTTTAGGAAACTGAGAACAAAGGTTCTATGAGTGAGAGAATGCCCAGCCTCYCTCCTCCCAAACAAGTGCAAATCAACACCACATAATCTACTGTTTATTTGATTATTTTCGCTCAATTCACCGAGTAGTTGGCCTCTCTCACAGGAGTTCTTAGTCTCGCMACGAAAATTCAAGTGAAGTTTTCATGTCGAAAGAAAGAAAGAGAAAGACGGAATACAGAAAGCAAATTGAAATCAGAAAGACGAACAGCTAGTTTACCTCTACAACGTCCTGGCTCTTGCGAAGCTCTTCCAATTCTTTCTTGAGAATTTCGTTTTCTTGCTGGAGAAAGGAAATAACAAAAAACATTGTAGAAAAGTATTAAGTAAACTACTGAAGAGCGAGAAAAGAAAGCCATAAAAATAACWTACCTTTGTAAAGTAGAGCTCCTCTGATGTTAACCTTAGGATCT